AACCAACACAAATACCCGAATAAGATTTTGTAAGCATATGAACATCTTGAGTCACAACAGCTTGGAGTCATTCATAACCTCAGATAGCAGAATAGTCTTGAAATAGATGTTCTATGAGGTACACAACATCAGGAGAGTAGGAATGCAGCAGTAAGGGAAAAGTCATTATTTAACGCCGGGGGGAGGAGTGGGGCAAGCCGAGGATTTTGATGGGGATCTCATGGTTTTCAGAGGGAACGGGGGGGGGAAATCGGTCGCCGCCAACAGAGTTTAAAGAGAGGACTATAGAAAATTGACTGCCTATGGGGGGGAATTATAAGGATAATACAAGGCCGTATGGGGAGGGGGTCAGGTAAATTTAGCGTGGCACGCGGGCTCAGAGATATTTTCAATTTTGTAAGCACGCGTACAATCATAGCGTGTGCGAGTTTAGTGTTTTCAGAGCCGTACTTTTTGAGGACTTTTTACGAAGTTTTATCATTTGTCGTGTTACTGTGTTGAGGTTGTTTTGGCCGATTAAACGTGGATTTGTTTTCCGAAGGGTTCTCCGTAATTTTGCCTGGGGACAACAACCAAAATCTCCTGCAACCCCTTAACTTCTAAGATCTGATTGTTAATTCTCCCTTCGAGTTACTGAACGTATCCTTGTAAATTAGTAACGAGAATTTGGTGTCAGATCAAGATAACAACTTCCACCTGATCAGTTTGAGTATTCTCGTTCCCTGTTTGCTGGATAATTTATGGATATTGTTGGGAGAAGTTACATGTAAATCACTTCTGGGAGTTTAAAGGTTAAGAAATAAAAGGCCTCAGTGTTTTATCAGGGTCTCAGCTTTTACCAGAAAGAGCTGTACTCGATTAAATAGAACTTCTGCGACATACGGCTAGTTTTACTTCATAATCTTAAACGTTAAAATGTTCAGGTCAAAATATTCATCTTCGAAGAAGACACAACGAAAATTGGTCGCGATTTCTCTGAAACAAGTTTCGAAGAAACACCGGGGAAGTGTAGTCGAGAAAATCGGTACTTTTGTCAAGAAAACTCGTGTCACTTTTCAACCAATCAGGTGCAAAGCGAAACTTATCATCAATACGTTACGCTCTCACGCGTTTAAAGCTTTGAAACTCTTTACGGTGGCCAATTCACATAATCAACTCAGTTGATAAAAGCAAAATTATCTTTTTACACTCCCCCACCGATGCAGCACCAAAGTTTCTATAGAAACTTACCCGCCTTTTTATATTTTCTAGATTTGCAATGACCCTGCTTCAAAACAATGGTATGTGAGAGTATTTAGATACGAAAATGATTATCAATTCTCAAGCAAATGAAACTCACTTGCAAAAAAAAGGTTTTGTCACTAAAGCTTGTTTTCATGGTGAGAGCTTTTGGAACTCGAAAATAAAACATTAGGTATTCAAGAGATGAAAAAAAAGGTTCACTAGTGCTAATGATGTGGGAATACATGCTAAAGGTTGTTTATTCTTAAACGAAAAACTCTTGATATTTGACTAGGCTTCACTGTTCGTTTCGGGGCAGTACTAAACATAACTTTGACAGACGTCAAAAATTTCTCAGCTTGATGCAACCTAATAGTTTTCTATTGAATACAAATTAAGGAGTATTGAATGATCATCGAGTACGTAACCAATCACAATAAAGTTTTTTTTTCAGTGGTAAACAATTTATAAAAGAAAAATGTTTTCCAGTAGGATGTAGTTCCTAAGCACCGTCTCGACAGTGTGTCGATGAAAAATAGTTAGAAACGTGGCGAGATGTTCTGTAAAAAGTGCTGGCACTTTATACAAGGGTAAGTATCTCATCAGAAGACTAGTTTAGTTCAGATGAAGTAACCGTGTTTTTGCAAAAGATATCTTGCATGCGGGCCTCAAGGAAACCTTCCTTTAGTATACATTTGCCATAGAAGCTCAGTGTAATGTCAAATATGAAAATACAACAGCACTTAAGAATTTCCATTCCAAAATGTTTTCTCAGAAAACATGTGTGAACAGACGGAAGCTTTTGGAGCCCGTCACTCACGTACAGAATTCGTCACACGGGTTAGATATTCAGGTAAATATATAAATATAGGTAGAACAGACAACAACTTCAATTGAACCGATTTGAAAATGACATAGATTTTTTGTGGGAAAAAATGAAACATAGGTAAAAAGGGTTCATTCTAAAAACGTTCTATAAATTCTCACTCAGTCGGTCGTAAAATGCTTAGGTTACGATGAACAATTCAACCTTACCAGCAGCATATACGTTTCTCCTCTGGACTAGCATTTGTTGAAAAATGATTCATTTATTGATTTTTACAGCAAATTATTTGACAGTTAACCCAGTGGGGCGAACCAACTTCCCGCATGCAATTGCAATGAAGAATAATCGAAAAGCAGAAAGCATTCAGCAATAATTGATCGCGAGTCTGATGAAATTTTTCCTCAGCAAAATTTTTTGACTGTCTTAGAGTACAATGAAACTTATAAATTAAGCTTCATACTTGTTTTCTTTTCCTTTGTTTCCTTTGTTTTTTATTTTATTATTATTTTTTTCAATTTCTACTCACAGTTCAGGGATTCTTTCAGTGATACACCAACCGACGGAGAAATGAATGACAGGAGAAACATCCCCTTTCGAATATGTAAGAAATTTTGTTTCCCATGCTCGATACTTCTGCTGTTCTCTTCCGCTGTTCTACTATGCAACTCCCATTATGGCCGATCTCTTTTCAAGTATAGTAAAGAGTTGATAAAGCCAATCAGGAGCTTGATTCAGAATAAAACGGCACTCGTTACTCTTTTAACAAATCCAAACAAAACAAATTCACCCGAAGTAGTTCGAGCATGGGCCGATGTCAATTCAGCATCATCCGAAGTTCAAAGAGGTTCACGACCGAAGATTTCCACGGGTTCAATTCTAAAGCCAGCTTTGGAAGCTCGGCCGATCCAACGTGTTCAACCAGCGCCGTCCGAAATCAAAACAGGATCAAACCAAGAGCCTCAGTCGGAAGCCCGATCTACTAGCGGCGTCCACTCCGTGTCATCAAAAGTTAGGCCGAAGAAGGACCAAGAGGACCGATCTCCTTCCGAGGTTCATACAGTGTCACACTCAGTTCAGACAACTTCCAACTTTCGCTCAACAAATCGTAATTCCCCTGAGTTGCAACGGACTTTTCCGACCTCCACAAATTCCCTTGATGCGGTATCGACGCCGCAACCCGAACGCCGCCGAAGTCTCCTAATCTATGGAGCCGACCGTTCAGGCACAAC